ATCATCTCATATTTCTGAAAATGAATACAAATTCACATGGCAAAAAAAGTTAAATTTCTTTTGTAGAAATGTGAATAAAAAACTACTAGGAAGTAATGTCCAAATACACTGGCCAATATATAAGTCATACCAAATTCTATACAAAACGTCGATAACTTACCTGAACAATGCCATTAACGTGAAAACACATGACCAGTTCTGGCACGTTACACATCAGGTTGTCCAGCCAGTAGTCGATGCCTGTTAGAATGTTGATTGGTTTATTGTTGTCCCTGAAAAGGAAAAAAAACCACAATCATAATAATGTGATAACAAATTAAATTCATACAGTACAAGATATCATCACGACTTTGTATATATTGTGATAACACAACCATTTTAACGCGTCACAGAAATAATGATGATAATATTTATAACTGTGCATTTCCAGATCAAAGATTAGAGCCGAGAGGTTTATTATCTGACCTGAGTCTCAGACTGACAGCAGGATAACGTCCACCTCCAAATATAGGCATGTTGGATCCAACCAACATGTGAATATCTTCGAACGTCCACATGATGTTTCGCACAAAATCATTTCTTAACCCCTAGCCAAAAGAACACAATGACAATATTTGAACATTCTCAGGGTTAATAACGCAGTTGTTGATGTGCTGTTAAGGACAAATGATACTGGTTTAATTACCTGACTGTTTTCCCCCTCATTAAACAATGGAGAAAGGAGATTTTGCTCCTTGGGCACAGATGTCACCTGACCCAAAGCAAACTTGCTGTCCAAAGAAACACTTCCCTGCAAATGTTATTCAAATATAAAACAGTGAGTACAAACATGGAAATATAAAACTTTAGCACTCTTAGCCTCTGTTGTCATCAAAGACGAGGTCCTTAGAATTTCTATTAGGGTATTCACAGCTTCTTACTATGATATAAGTATTGCTCATTGAGAGTGTTTTCTTATGAATAGCATAGTAGTAGTATTAATGATGCTTTCTACATACCTCTCTGTGAGGTTCCGGTTCTTCAGCATCTGACGGTGTGCTTGTAAAGGAGGTTGGCCATGAGCTAAACTCTTCTGCATCATTCTCCACTGGCTCTGCCGCTCCTTCACCATTTATACTGTAAAAACAATATGAACCAAGCAAAAAAAAAAGTAACTTTTATGACAAACTTTAATTAATCTATTCAAAATCCCCCACATTTACAGACCTGTAATAGAGGAATTTTGAGAGGATAGCTCGTTGATACCAGTGCTCTTTACTCTTCTTTTTCCGCTGCCACTTCTGGTCTATTAGCCGCTGGTAGAACTCTTTTAGCCAGGTCCAGTCTCCCGTCTTAGAAGCACATACAAAGGGAGAACATACTTTAGCACTCACTGCAAAAACAGCAACGACTCTCACACCACAAAAGAGAACAGATGGGTTTTGTTTAAGTAAAAACCACTGCAGTACCTGAGAGGACCTCATGAAGAGTTCCTGAATGTCCAGCTCATCCAGCAGCAGCGTCCTCCCAACACGATGGACAGCCATGCTGACGTGGGACTTGCTGAATGGGATTTTTAAAAGCTTCTTGATGTTCTGAATTTGACATAGTATTAAATTATTATATGAATGTCGTATTATACAAGTATTTAACAAACTACTATTCATATCACTATTAAAAAAAAACAAAATGCATGAGGTTCAATCTCTGTATTTCCTGGTGAGCTAGGGAAGTTAGGATAAGAATTATAAACAGTATCTCTTGAAGGCAGTCTGTTCCTCTCAATAACAAACCAACACCAATTTGCCAAATAAAATGTAGCTCACACCTCCGAGTCTGAAACCACGTCCACATCATCTCCAATACAGTCAATGAAGTCGTAGGCCATCCCAAAACTACAAGAAAAATTGTAACTTCATCAATAGGGAGTCAAGAGTGAATTGTTATTATTTGTCTGTACAGTATTGTTTTAAACAATGTTTTAAAAACTAGACGTTTTGAAGTTAAAAATAAATCACTTAATAAAATATAAGCTCCCACCTATTATGACTGTCAAGACTGTGTGCAAATTAAATAACAAAAATATTTTTTCCACAGATTCCTACAGTACCAAATGCAAAACATTTAGTTAGTGTTTGTTTTGAAAAGACCTACCTAGAAAAAGGCTTGCTCTTGCTGCTGGACCCTAATATAGTGGTGCCTGCACTGCCCAGCTGAGGGTTTTCTCTCAGCCAGTTGGCAGGAGCCAGCTTCAGGTCAGTCTTCTCCTGCAGCAGGGCATAGCTGGTAGGAGGTGGAGCAGCAGAGTATTTGACCACAGCACTGCTCTTGACTTCAGTGTTGACTGGGCACATGGCTGAGTCCTGTAAAGCATCACAATATAGAACAACATAGAATTTTGAAATTCAGAGCAAGGTTTTAGTGTTTCTAACGTAGTTATGTTTATTATCCTTAAATATTTACACGTGGCTTCATTGACATTCTGTAGTCCTAAAAGGAGCATCTACAGGTGTTTATGTTTTGGTTTGTTTTTTTTTTACAAATAATATTGTTGTTATAAGTCAGCACGTGGCCTCTGTCAGGACTATACTACAAATTTGCATTTTGCTTAATAAAGTTTCAAAATTTGTCCGCATTGGAATAAAGCTGTAACACAAGTGAAAAAACGTGAAGTGGTCTGAGTACTTGACGGATGCTTTAGGTAACGACTCCAAGTCTTCTTTATTTGTAAAGAGTTTCCTATACCGTTCATAGGTTCAGTGCATTAAAATGGTGCATATACTGTATGTTATGCTGCCACATACTTATGTACACGTATACTGCATTCAATTAGCTACTTGTCTGGTTCCTTACTTGTTTGTTTTCACTTTCCGCAGCCTCACAGACTTCTTCGATGGCTTTGTCCGGAGGGATTCCAGGGTCTGTGTCCCCAGCTGCTGTACTCATAGTGGACACCTTGGCCCTTCAGTCCGGCCGACACTGACTGGACACCCGTTAACAATTACACCACATGTCCATTTACTCATGGACGACGTTAAAGCCACTCAAAAAAAGCCTTTTCTTGGTTAGCTCCGCATGCTAGCTGTTCCACAGAGTCCGAGTGACTCGTAGAGGAAAAGCTGTAGTTTTTTGAAAACTCACATACACTTACACGGTGGTGCAGCTGCAATCCTGTTTAACAACAATATTGTTCTAACTATATTTTAATTGATGTCGTTAACCTGGAGCTTCAGTTCACCAGTCTTGTTGACAGGACACACGTTGGTGCGAGCAACACAAAACAACTTCCCGTTACCATGCCAAAAGGGTTCCTCATTTTTAAGCAATATTAATAACCAAACATAAATTAAAATGAGAATAAAGATGTTTCCAAACAGTTTGAGAATGTAAATGTGACGGGATATAAGTCGGTCACAGCACCCCTTTAACAAAACGCGATGAACCGGAAGTACTAGGAGCTCAAGGATGTTCCTGAAAAGTTGTAAATATACTGAGCCTTTCTTAAACCGTGTGTCAGAAGTTTCACACAAAAAATGTACATGCACGAAAAAATGTTTATAAAAAATCATCAATTTTCCGGATTTCAATCCTTCATATGCCAATTTAATTTGTAATTTAAAAAGCACACCAAATTACTTCATAATGAATAGTTGGTGCTTAATATTCATTTTTTAAATAAAATGTTTATGCATCAAAATTATTTTCAGACTTTTTTCATTAATCTGTTAATCAGTTTCAACTGTTTCATTTTCGGTATTTATGCATGAATTTGTTTTGCTTTTTTCAAGTTATATTACGTAGTCACGTAACCATTAGGGAGCCTTGTCAGTGATTTGTGTGTTACTATAATAATATTTGTTACCTAATACTACTATACACTATGGATTTAAACTGTATTTGCAGCTATAATAATTACATGCAAATATTATCTTTATGTAAACATTTTCTACCCTCATTGTGTGAAAATAAGTTCTGTTAAAATGTATAAAAGTAAGGCATTTTAAATGAAAAAGTATGGTTAATTTAAACGTAAAGTTTACCAACCTTCGTTACAAACAGCAAAACCCACTTTCTGCATAAACGTCCAGCTGCAGTACAATTAAAAGTCCTTTAGGAGGCGACAACACACTTTGGAAAAATCACCAATTACAAGGTGTTTGGCGAGTAAGGGGTTTGTGCTACCAACTGTGATGGATGTAGTTCGGTACGTAGTGCATTTGTCAATTTAATCAATTCGGTCAACGTCACTGTCAATGTGAAGTGCCCAGTTTTGGTCCACAGCACCATCCTGCAGACCACTTACAAATAGAGAAAGGCAATATTGAAATAGTCAACGAGGATTTTATTTATTTATTCTACAAACAACAAAACAAAGCCACTGCTAAACGCAAAACTTACAAATAAAAATATTTGGATACTTAAGTGAAAAAAAACCCAGATTATTTCTTTGACTTAAGTAATTTTTATTAAAATAATTGTATTATACATATCTATGCTTAAGGTTGCTGTTGCTATCAGATTAGTCTGCCCTGACCTTGGGACAATGTCACTTTTATAGACTTATATAAAAGGGACAACTAAAATACTATGCTTGTAGAAGCAGAGAGTTGCAAATATGTATATGAATTGCTTGGGTTTTTTTTTTATTTGGACACAGACAAGTGTCAAACTCTTGAGCATCCAGACTCTATTTCAGTGTAAAAGAAGTAATTTAAGATAACAGACCTCTACGTCATCTTGTCTTTTTAAACTCTTTTTTCCAGTAATCTCCGCTGGCTACGTTTTAAACAAAGTAATATTTTCAGTCTAAGCTTATTTGGATGGCTGTTGACATTTTATAAACAATCACATTATTTCCTTCTGATATTCTAGGAACAAAGACCTTGTGAGTTACAGAGGCCAACTGCCATTGAGAACCAGCAATCCACCTTCATGGACACCCAAAAATAAAAAGATAAAAGGCAAGAAATAATGACGTCACAAATCTTGCTCACCAGCCAATGGAATTAGACGATATGATTAAATAAAAAAGTTGGCAGTAATACAACGTTATGGATGACGGCAACTGTGAAACTCAAACAAGCCTTTATTCATGTGTTGATCTTGATTTTTGTGGTTTTAATCAAATGACCTCTTTGGGCTCAGACACTGCACAGCTCATTTTATTTTATTTAGTTTATCATATTTTTATTTAGTCAAGAATTAAACAAAAAAATCCCACAGTGATGCACAGCACTGTCATGACTGATCTGTCTTGTTAAATCGGTAGAATGCACCACAGGTAAATGTGACATTTTCTGCGGCGTATCGTTGGAACCGCTCGATCGACGCGATGGCTCAAAGAAAAATGGAGAAAAGATATTTTACAGTAAACAGAAATGGGAAATGGGTGAGAAACCGTTTCTTTGCTTCCATATCATCGGATCCGACGGTGACAGACGATGACCCCTGACAAATGTTTTCCTTCTGTGTTTACAGTTTGCTCATTCAGAAGGGAAGACAGGAAGTCGTGGGACCTGCACCAGCACTGGGGTCATGTTGGACCAAGTCTCAACCTCGTTGCCCCAGGCTTTGAAATTTGAACGTTATACTAAATTAAATACTACGCAGGTATGTGTGTAACAGTAGAATTGCTGCCTTTCTAGCTCACTCATCCTTGGAAGCTATTACAGATGAAATAGGTCCGTTCATTCCATTAGAGCTTGACATCTCCATAGTTGGTCCAACACAATTATCTTCTGCAAAAGCTATGGGTGCACTTTTATGGTTTTTATGTATGATTTGAGATTAATTCCTCTGCTGTTGAACTTTCATGTGTCTCTTTACAGGAATTCAGGGACTATCCATTCTCACGGCACGATAACAAACATGCTTTAAAAGAAAATATTACTGTTTTTACAGAGGTAAGTGAAAAGAGAAATATACTAAATATATCTTTTTTTGATCTACTAAAGCCTCCAATGTTGTTTCCAGGGTGTGGGGAAGAAGAAATGTCTCGATGATCGCAGACAACACAACTCACAGATCACACTGTGCCATGATAGAGTCGATGGCATCCCCCAAATGGCTGGGAGCCGCACAACTTACCAGGCTGACTTTATAGAGAAGGAAGCTGTCGACGCTCCAAATGAGACCAGACGGTTCCCTCACAACCACAGGCTTAGATCTGAAAGGGCAGCGCTCGCACTGACAGATGACAAATACATGTGGTTCGGTCGTCAAGACCAGGAAGATATAGAGACGCTGGAATTGCTCGCAGCTACAAAGTACTGAGATACGGAGGCGAATGCAGGAACTTTGACAGCCATCAGGGACGGTATCAGAAAATAAAAAAATCTCAGGTTTTTACATAACATTTTCTCCTAGTTGAGAATACTTTTTTTTTCAACAGATGTAATTAATGTATATTTTATTTTATATTTGAAAAAGTGGTTTGTTATATCTTTACAAGGGCAGTTGAGCAATGCCGTGGATGCCTACAGCAGGAAAAAAATAACTAACGCATTGACTGAAATAAAATAATGTTTTCTTTGTAAACCAGGAAAAGGTGGCAGCTTTAGGCACATGTATGTGTATGTGTGTGTTTGTGAGGACGTGGGTAAATGTAGGAAGCGTGGGAGCGAATGACGAGGAACACTTCTCAGAGAAAAGCACTTAAGTGAAAAGTATCCTTCTTCCTTTTTCTTTTCTCCCTCTCTCCTCTCTGACACACACACACACACACACACACACACACACACACACGACCTATGTGTCTCTCTCCAATAGCTGGTGTTTTCTCCAGAGCATGTTCGGAGCAGCTGCCCACTTTCTTTAAGTACTCACTGGAGAGATGGGCTTTTCTTTAAAGCTTTAAAGCTTTTAAAACCTCACCATTATTATTATTATTATTATTATTATTGCTGTTGTTGTTGCTGTTGTTGTTGTTGTTGTTATTGGGAACCACTGCTGCTCTCCAACCATGTCCTAGTCACCTCCTACCAACCATACATCAAAGCTGGTTCCTCTATATAAATCATTTGAAATATTTCTAAATATTTATATATAATATTTTATTTTCATGAAGTTGTCAGTATCCCCCTGGTCTTCTGCCATCTCTACGTCCGTGGGTGCAGAGAAAACACACTTTTCTTTGGACCTGTCACAACATGACCAACTCCTCCACACTGACACGACCAGCACACATTTCAAGAGAAATGTCAGAAAAGCTGGAAGATTTTAACAACTCCGCAGAGGCCACATTAACGATTTATGTCTGATAATATGAGCTCGCGATGAAGGCACCATGAGAAACACCGAGTGAAGACGAGCGTACATTATGCAAAACGACATTCTTGGTGTATTATCTAATCTCCCAAGGACAAAAGACTCATCTGGGCAAACAAGCGTTCAACCACCAGGGCCCTGTGCTGCATGAATATGGAACGAGACGCTTGAAAACCTCCCTCTTTGGTGTTAGGAGAATCCCCGGTTTGGATTTTACCAGGTGCTGTGATTAATTCACAGGTGCACGTATGTCTTTGATGTGCTGAGCTGAGCTTTTGCACCTGTAAACGATAACGAGAGAACCTGAATTCAACAGACAATCTAGATAAAGCACATATGCAAATAGGCATAAAGCAAATATGCTGCGATGACGTGTGTGTCGGTATGATTCAGGTATAGCTATACTTGTGGGGACATTATTTTTTGGGCAAACATAATATTATTTATCAAAAATTAAATTTTCTTTGCTGATAAAACTAATAGGTACTTTGTGTACTTTTTAAAATGTCTTCCATTAAATCAATTATAATCCATTTAGGCCTGTACAGCAGGGCTTTTCAGGCAAATTTTTAAAGAAAACTTTCTTAAATAACTGTTAGTAATCGTGACTAGGCTAAACAACCCCCTGATACGTCTCCTTCCGGTGACTGATTCAAGATGCAATATATGGAATTCCCTTGGTAGGGAATTGTGAATGTCTAGAGGCAGAGCAGCGGTCCTTGTTGCCGTACTGTAATAGTCACAGGCCCTTCTGCATCTGAGGACGGTGATAAAGGTAGCTGGCTATCTCATTTCCACACAGGACACGATAACATCCTGAGAACATTCCCATCACTTGAGTTTGTTCAGTGGAGATAAGCCGTCCTTTTGCTTAAGCTTTTTATACAGTATATAAGCATGTGTGTGTGTGTGTGTGAGGACTAAACCGTGCAACCTGTTAACTGCAGTCCAGTTTGGGCCTTGGGTCTTAAGCCCCCAGCCAGTGCTGCAGAGATGATCAGACCTACAGTATCCTTGCACTTAATCACATTCTTCCATGTATTTTTTCGACCTCACACGGCAGAGTTTGCATGCTGATTTGTGTGTGTGTGTGTGTGTGTGTGGGTGGTGAGTATAATTACATTTGGTTGTTCGTAAACAAAGACCTACAGCAGTCGTCTGCTCGAGGATGCTTCCCAGGAGAGAGAAAACATTACACCACTTCATACAAGGCTGGATTCATTTTTTTTATGCATTTAAAAAACAATGCAATATCTAATTATTGCAGATGTAAAAACACTAAAAAAACATTGTATACAAGCCCAGACATATATAATCTGCATTCATTTAGTTGTGTTAGGAGATTGTGTACCAGTTGTCAAGGAAATCGACGTAATTACCTAATTTGCATCACTACATACAAGCCTTACAACAGCATTTATACACACTGATATCCTCTCTCCTGAGAATTACACTTTACTCCACTCGTGCATACATTACTAATAATTTCATCACTGTTTATGAAGCTCTGCATGTTGCATTTCTTTCATTCAGTCTGTCCCTTTAAATCAGACATGGGCAAACTAAGGCCCGGGGGCCGGATGCGGCCCGTTCAGCTTTTTAATCCGGCCCTCCAAATGATATAATTTATTTATATTATCATTATACTTCTGCCTTTTCCCTGCAATACCCACGTTTCCCCAATAGTTGGCGTAGAAAATGATAAAAGCATTTTAGCCTTTATGCATGACTTTTACATTGGGTGAAGCTTGTCAATTTTAGAATTGACTAGCTTCACCCTCTAATCTAGAACCGGATCAGACGCTGAATTTGCTTCTTTATGCTTTACTTTTTAATTCAAAGGAGTTATCGGTAGATGATTAAAAACATATGAGGGGTCACACACCCAGGGGTCCACGCACCACACCTTGGGAATCCCTGCTCTAACTGGTGGAGACATCTGCAAATGAAACAAAAGAAATCATTTTGACCTAACACCTTGTTTGTTGCATAAAATAGATAATAGAGTAACATTCTTGGTACTGTTAGCTTTGTGAACAAACCAAAACCGAGTGTGTGTACGTGTGTGTTAAATTTCATGCGCGGGTGTGTATGTGTGTGTTAAATTTCATGCTGTAGAAATACATTGTAACATCCAGAGACCTCACGAGTCTAATGAACTATTTTAATCCTCATTCTTTAGAAAGCAGCTTTATATGGCTTCTGTTAGCTACGTGAATCCAACACTGATAATGGGTCCTTATCTATTAATAATTCCGCGATGGTATCACAAAGAAATATTTCAATGGAACGTAATAAAAACTGCAGTTAACGTCACATCGTGCGTCTTTGTTCTAATATTTTCATCTCAGAAGCTCTGATGAAATGAGACATCCCACTCAAGGACGGTGTGCACGCGTGTGGCTCTGACACACAGTACAATGTCGCACTCATAACAGCCTGACATTATTACCTAATATGAATGGCACTCCCATGAGCCACTCATTAAAATAGCTCACATGTAGAAGGACGCGAGGGCTGTTAAATGATCTGTTAACACATGATAATGACACACGCTCTCACGGTGATGCTGATGTCAAAAGTGATAGTGAGTGATTTCTGAGCAGCGCACGCCCTCTGGTTCCACCCGCTATCTTCATGGCTGCTGACTCTCTGCTGGTATTTCTCAGAATTACATTGTTTCACAAGGAAAAGTGGGATGATGAAGCACAAGAGCAACACTGTGCTGATAAATACATTTTGAAAGAAAAAAAAATCCCACAAAAATACATTGGAAGAGCAGCCATGAGCTAAAAATGTCAGGTAAAAATGCCCAAAAGAAAAATATTGTGTGGTCCCCACAGTTTAAAAAAAAAAAAAACTTAACCCCAACATGTATGACTCTATTTACATTCTGTTAGACAAAAATTTGATTTTAGTAATTTTATTTAAGTATCCGGCCCTCATGGTATCTGTCCAGAAACATTCTGGCCCTCTGACAAATTGGTGACCCCTAAATATATAAGAGGTCATTATTTTTAGAGCGGCTCAGTGGCAGAAACCCATGTCTGTCATCAGTAGGAACCAGGTTCACAGGGATCTTGTCAGGAAGGGAACCAGTGTTCAAAACTCTGCCTATCCCTATGCTATAGAACTACTGCTGTTGTGTCGACTCCAGATAAAAAAAATTAAAAAAATTATTCTTCAGGCATGTGAGGTCCGAGGGAAAAGCCAAAAATTATTCTTCAGGCATGTGAGGTCTAAAATAGACTTCCTCTTATTTTTTTAAACCAGGGTCTTTGCAACATTTTTGGTGTGTTCTTCCCTTCTTAACCACAGCAATCCAGCTGATTCTGCACTTCTTTTTTTAGGAAAGAACTACTGGCATCCTTATTTCAACTAAAAACATGACAAAAAATAAAAGTATCATGATCATTGCATGACAAATTATTAGTAGACAGTAGACACAGAGAGGGTATGTGGAGACAATGTCTTTTTATTTTATTTTTTATTTTTAGACTTTGTGTCAGACATCAACATAGAAAATCCTGGCCACACTTGAAAATATATATTTTTTTAAATGTTAATTGCCTGAACTGAGGTGAAGCTTGACATTTCTTGGTTTGTATTTTTTTCATGATATGTATAATATATTTTAGCAGTAATATAAGGACAAAGAAGGTGGCTGCAGCTGCATCTTTAAATATTACAGATTATTCCAAACCTGATCTATGTAGAAATACTGTAGTAATATGTGCAATGTTGTCACAAACACTAGCACAAGTCAAGGCAGAAAGCTATGTTCTGTAACAGACTAAGTAAAAGGAAAATATTTACATACACAGACATATAGTGATTTGAATGTGAAACTGGTTCAAGGTTGCAATAAATATTCATTCCACTGAGGCAGGTAGACTAACAGAATAAAAATAACCAGTATTTAAAGATTAACATAACCCTTGGAGGTGTTTTTCTATCCCCCCGTAAACCAAGTCAAGACTTCGGCAGGTGCAGAAAAGCTCTCTCTCTCCGGAGTTCCTGCATTAAGTCTCCGGAATTTAGTAGCACAATCATGAGCCTCCCGTTCAGTCTCTGAAGTAGAAGAATTGCTTTGCATTTTAAAAAGGTCAAACACTCAGATCTCTGCCAAAAGGAATTGAGGGAAGAAATAATGTCTCTCTGCAGAAATATGCCGTTGCAGTCTACTGATCCTCGGCTACAGTAAAAAGATTAGAGGTGTGTGTGTCAATTTCTAACAAGTACTGTTTAAAGAACAATGAATCAAACAATCAAACTGAGATGTGGTAGCTGGTTCGCGGTACTGTACGTCACTGTATTCACTTATGTAGACGTCCTTAAAATCACACATCTTTTAATATTGTTGTATTTATGCAGATTTCTATTGAACTAAACATTTGGTGTAGTATTTTGATTTACTCAGCATACCACCTGAGTCTGTTCAGCTGTGTACAGTCTCTGAAATACTTGGAAGAATTGAAGAAATACACATATGAAGATCTTCTTCGACACCCCTGAGTCTTCGTCTTTTTAGAGGTTTTATAGCCTTCTGCTGCCAACTAGTGGAAGAGTATTAAATTGTTCTGCATCGACTGTCGCATAGA